GCATGGCGCCGTTATGATTGAATAGGAACGGCCCGCCGTGGCCTATAAGAGCAGCCACCGGCGTAAAATGCGCACACCACATAAAATATTTAGAGAGCCAGAAGAAAGGAGCGCAATATATGAGCGGAATACCTAGTGAAACGCTGTCGTGGGTTATAATAGGTCCCAGCATACAGTATGTATGGTATCCGTGTTGCCAGTGCATGTATATATAATAATTATAGGTAGTTGACAGTTGCAGGTTCCTAGCTTTCCGAAGCAAATATTCAAAGTAACCAGCTCGCTCGCAAAGAGAGAGCCAGTTCACGTGCATACGTATACGTGCGTACGTACGTCAAGTGGTGTGTGTGTGTGGGTGTGTGTGCGTGCGTGCGGTGTGCTTGAGGCGTGTGTGCGTGCGTGCCGTGCGCGGTGTAGGCGCTGTATGCTACATATGCGCGCCGCAATGAGGTCATGCCGCGAATTAACGTCATGTGCGTTATAGCCTGGTATACTGTACACTACTGGGTTACTTAACCACTAAAATTTTCGTATTGAAAAGTTGACGAGTTGACCAACTTGGTAACTAACCGGACCGAAAGTCGGTCGGTGTAAAGTAAAAGTTTAGCTGCCTCAATCTGGTTGAGAAATTAGACCACTGTTCTTTTTTCTCAACTTATGGACAACTTTCTGTCATGCAGCCACTCTGATAACACAGTCAAGATTGGTGGTCCCTCACCCATGCGGGAGTATTATTTTTGCACGCGTTTTTGCTATTCAGCGTCACACGGGCTACACCTGCGCAAATTGCCTAAACGCGATAACTACACTTTTGACGCTGATTAGAAGATTTATAGGGACCAAGAGTAGATTCAGGGACCTTGAAAACTTATCACCTCGTCGATTTTCCATAGTGTTAAAGTTACACTATTGAAAAAGTCGACGAGTTGACATAGCTTTCAAACTTTTATCAAGCCCTTCATCAGATGTTCAAAGTTTTTACATTATCACGTAATAATAATCGTATTAGGTTTATCCAGCCATTAATAAAATATCCATTGACCTATTTTTTTTTTATCTTTTCGTTGCATTACGTGTGCGCACGTACACATAACATCTACTAATCTGACGTATTAACTATACTTGTTACTAATTATAACTCTAATATAAAGCTCGTATTAATCTATTGCAATATTAATAAAGATCTAATAATACCTAATATAACTCTATCATAACTAGTATACATTTTATATCACTAACATTAATCAAGATACTAAATATTATACTAATATAAGCTCTACATATAACATATAATTCTACATAGTAATGTAAGAATGTCGAGATATGTATACCACGTGCGCACACCACAGCCTTTAGCAGCGTGTGGATGGATGATGGATGGATGGAGTGATAGAATGAGTGTGGTATGGATGATATCTCCTCGTCATTGTCGGTATCGGTATATGTATATATACAGAGAGTCGCACCTCTACTCATATAAACATTGCCCCACCACCGCTATCCCAAATGTTAGTGCTTGTGCAGGCAGGAGATAATCTTAGTGGACTTAATTCTTCCGTATTTATATTAATGTAGGATATTTGATACAAGCGGGATCATGAATTGAGATAAGAGCGCCACGCGCGCTCTCTACCCGAGGGTGGGGGTGGCTGCGTGTAACAATGTGTACAGTGGCGCGCAGGAGCCCGATGAAACAACAACAACAAATAGTCGCCTGCGCGCGTACGTGGGCGCAGCTGGCGTACGCGCCCTGCGTGTTTGTGTGTATACTATGGTATATCTGTTATAGTTATATGTTATATTTTGTGTGTGCTATGTGCATTTAACACCGCGTGCGCGTGCTGAGGTTGCATTGTGGACGGTATTCTTTTTATTCGCGTCATATAATAGTGTGGGTGTGTTGTTCATTGTCATTTACCAAGTTTTACGGCTGGGCGTGATTGCAGAATAAGAGGAGGGAAGGGAGAGGGAAGTGAGGAGGGAGGGAAGGGGAGGATGGGATAGGATAGGAGGGGAAAGGAGGAGGCAGACGGCACAGGGTCGAAGAGGTGAGGTGGAGCGCGTGAGGGGGAAGAGGAGAAGGTGGGGGAAGAGAGGGTAGGTAAGTGAAGGGGAAAGGAAAGGGATAGGAGAGGAGGATGGATGAGGGGAGCAGGGGGAGGGATGAGAGGGGAAGGGACGGGGGAGGGAGGAGGGGGAGGGAGGGAGAGGCGGAAGGGAGGAGGAAGGAGGGCGAAGATGAGGGGCACAGGCGATGAGAAGGGGGAGGGAGGAGAGGAGGGGAAGGACGGAGGATGGGAGAGGATGGGAGGGGTTGGGGAGGGGCAGCGAGGCAGTAAGGGCGAGGGGAAGAAGCGGGAGATTAGGAGATAATATTATTAACACTCGCGAAATGGCGCCTCCGGCGCAATATTCGCTCGTTAGGCTGATCGAGACTACGATGATTTTGCTAAATCCGGCTCCCGATTCATAGCTAAACTTTAGTTAAAAATTGACTTTGAATACGAAGACAATCATACAGGACCTGGTACTGAACATATAACATTTTCTGTCTCGGTATTTTCGTTTCTAACACACTTTGTTACACACCTTTCTAATAAATAGTTTTCTCTCTTCAAATTAATTAAGCTAATATAATATACGGCAAACCCCGCTTAATAGATTATTTGTCTTTGCCCGTCAGTTCGTACTAAGCGGGTTGCGACTGTAGTAATGAATAGTAGTAATTGAATGAAAGAGTTAGGCTTTGCCAGTAATTGTATCTATATTTCGTGAACCAATTTTGACACTACTTAAAGGTCTTAATTATACATATAAACCTTTATTAAATCCTTGTACACACTTGTAATCCATTAATTTTTCCTTTGTTAATTCGGCGGCTAATATATGTTGAAGTGGTTACGAAAACCCACTTAATGTAAATTATTTTTTCTTTGGCCGTCAGTTTTCTACTAACGGGTTTGACTGTAAGTAATGACTCTTGAAAAATGTAGGCAAACAGCTTCGCAAGTACATGGTTTATATCCTCCGCAGCGTAGTGTAACACGGAACGTATTGTTTTCAGCGCCGTATTGTGTGGTGTTGTGTGTTGGTGTCAGTGCGATGCTGTGTGCGTGTGCGTGTGCGTGTGCGTGCGCGTGTGCGTGGGTGTGCGTGTGCGTGTGTGTCTGTCTGTCTGCTCGCATATTTTTGCAACGTTAGAGGTAGAAACTTCAAACTTGGTCCAGAGGTGGACCTTATGAGGCGCGGTTGGCCAACCCTATTGATTTTGAGTGCCTTTCACCCAATGTCAAGGGTCACAGGTTCACATTTGATGAATGGATAGATAGATAGATATATACCACGGATAGTGCCACGGATTTTCTCAGTGTAGGTTAATTAGTTTCAGAGGTATGCCTCGCCTTGGTCAGCTTGACCACTAGACCCTGGTCGTACCAATTGTTTGTAGGCTAATTACTTATTTACGATGTCGGCCTTGCAACTGTTTGTAAAGATAGCAAGAGGCTGTCTGGCCTAGCGCCTCTAACGAGGATTGCCCGAGGCGCGTCCCATGCTTGTTAATCAGTTCTTAATCACCTTCTTTCCAACGCGCAGTTTTAATTTATAATAACTTTCGCTTCATTACATATAGATAGATAGAAACTAGATAGATAGAAAAATATAATATAAAAATATAGATTGATAGATAGATATGCGCTGAGTGCGAGCGTGCAGGTGGGGGAGGAGCGCGTGTGCCCTGGCGAATCCACTGCAAGGTTACGTGACAGACTACTGTATCCCTTAGCATGTGGTTGCGTGTTTGTAAGTCTACAGCCAGCTCACCTAGCGGAAGTGAACTGAATCGTGCATATTTTCCGGAGAGATTTTCCATTAGATTTCCTAAATATTTAGACAAGTTTTTTTGAAACATTTAACCCAATAAATAACTAAAAGCAAAGTGTTAGAATCGAACCTGATTGCGTAGGAATGAAGCACGAAAAATTTCATCCGGATTCGTGCACGCGCCTAGAAGTTATGCAGGAACGAACAGAACGACACTACTCAAATTATTATATATATAGATATAGATAGATAGTCATATCCTACCTCTAACCATATTATCAAGAGCTCATAATAGAGAGCTCTCTATTATGAGCTCTTGATATTATCGATTAATAATATAGCCGCTGCGCTAGCCAAACACTATATACGTAGCTGTGTGACATATACTCCCACCAGTGCATACCCCACAGGCACTTGGAGCGTTTCAATAAAATATAATGCTAAATAAATACGAATCTATTTACTACCAAAGTTTTCATGTTTCTCTACTCTCTTTCAGCTATTATTGCCGACAACTTCCTGTAAATGCCGTCCAAATGCTCATCTGCAACACATTTTTTTTTAGGAATTTCATACATTTTAAAAGTTTTTTTTAGGAATTTTAGGACGAGCTCAAAATTTTAGGAATTTTTTAGGAATTTTAGGGCCACTGGAAAGCCTTATAGATTTCGTATTTATTTTGCATTACATTTTATTGAAACGCTCCAAGTGCCGGTGCATAGACCATTACCTGAAAAATGACGATTTTCGATGTTTGTATTTTATGCGTAAGATGCAAACCGCGAAACTATACATGTATATCGTTTCGCATGTGTCTGTTAACCAATATTGCTCACACGAGTATATTATGTACAGTCCCGGATGTCCAGAATCGGACGTCTAGCTCCCTTCGTGGTTCCATCAAGGATATATCCTTGGTTCCACGATTCGTTTGTGCCCGCCTTAGGCAACGCTGGATGCCACATAATCTCGGCAGCTGTTCTGCGTTTTCCCCGCAGAAATGTCTCTAATTCGCGATTATCGGGTTGGGAGGATGAGGAGGAGGCGGTGCGAGCACGTGACCTCGTCGCGCCGGCGCCGCCGGCGTAACCACGCAACGTATCGCGCACGCGCACGCGCACGCGCACGCGCACGCGCGAGAGTTCCCAATCGCCCCGACGGTCCCCACAACCGGCATTGTTCTCCCCGAGTACGACGCGAACTTACGAGTCTCCGGTCTGCTCAATCGATTTCCGTGAATTCTAACGAGTTGTGTTGTATGCGCGTGTGTGGAGCAGAGCCTGACGTTCAGAGAAAAATTTTGGTAGTTTTCCATCCGCACGTCGGAACAAAGCGACACAGTGTAGCGTGGCGCGCAGACGACAACAACAACCTACGGAAACACCCAGCGACAGACGCGGGCAATCACCACCACCACCACCACCACCAGCAACAGCAGCACGCCAGTCGATTTCGCGGGCAGAGAAATAAAATGGAGCCACCGAGAATTCTACACTGGGCAGTACCGCGCAGTCTATCCACTGCACTGCTCAGGTCTATAATGACAAGCGATGACATCGAGGTAAGAATACTGGCAGCCGTCCGTACGCGGCGTATATATATCCGTGCCTAGTCTTCAACGTCCAATGGAATATATTATCACTAATCACTATATATGATCGAAGACGGATGCATGTTTATAATCATGTCGATCACAGGAACTTGGAGCGTTTCAATAAAATATAATGCTAAAGAAATAGATACGCAATCTATTTACTACCAAAGTCAGTTTACTACCAACGAGAGTTTCTATACTCTCTTTCACCTAGTATTAGTATTATTCCCGACAATTTCCTGCAATGCCGTCCAAATGCTCATCTGCAACAATTTGAACAAACGCTGGCTGCCGCTGCACACTGACACATAACTATATATTTAATAGACTTTGGTAGTAAATAGATTTTATTTAGCATTATATTTTATTGAAACGCTCCAAGTGCCTGTGATGTCGATTACATCCGTATTCGTTTCGACATCGATCTTTGTGCATCGAATGCCTGTATAGACTGTAGTAATGAAGCTAGTAACAACGCAAATCCTACACGTCGGTATATATAAACCGGGTGGTTGGTTATGATCACCGTTTGTAGACAGACGGAAGTCCGTCGCTGAAAAAATACACACTGTGTAGCAGGAGAAGAAGAAGAAGAAGACGAAGAAGAAGACCAGAACTAGTATAATGTCTCAAATGTATCGATCTACAAAATAGGGTCGCTGTCCTCTCACCGGTATAATCGATGGTTGGGGTGGTGGGAGGCGGAGAGGGGAAGGAGGGGAGGAGGTGGATCGAACCTGGTAAATGCGTGTGCGTGCATGTGTGCATGATCTGTGTCTGTATGTGTGTGTGTGATGTGTGAAGTTGAGAGTGAGAATACCATCTGTCTCGCACACACGCGGGGCGCACGGGAACGGTGGAGACTCATTTTACGTACGTACCCGGTACCTCATCAAAATGACTCGTGCACCTAGTACGTGTATCGCCGACTGACGCACGGATTTACTTCACGTTATCATATCGCGGCTGTGACGCACACATCTACATGTATTGCGTTACGATGTCGTACCAAGGCCTCACATCAATTTATCATACATCAAAGCCGGTGCATGCACTTGCACTCGTCACAGATTGATGTAGCTCTAGTACTGTAGCCCTTTGTGGCACAGGCACCTGTGGCAACAGAGGCTATCTCACTAGAGCACAGATTGATGTAGCTCTAGAACTATAGCTCTTGTTGGCACCTGTAGACACCTGTGGCAACAAGGGCTATCACACTAAGAGTACAAATTGATCAAAAGCGTATAAAGAAGGCGAGCTTACAAGTTTACAACGGTGAAATGGTGAAACCATGTTGCAGTATTAGTTGAATTAAGACACTTTGCCCGTTTTATTTTGACGGTTCTTTGGTAGGACAGCTGATCAATAATACTGCAAAGAATCGTCAAAATAAAACGGGAAAAGTTTATTAACTCGACTAATACTGCAACATGGTTTCAGCATTTCACTGTTGTACGCTCTCCTTCTTTTAATACACTCTTGAATTTATGTAGCTCTAGAACTATAGCCCTTCGCTCGGCCACAGGCCTCCGCTCCTATGAGTTATAGCTAGCTAAGATTGATGCTGCTGCATAGATTTACAAACCATATCAAAATGGCTGCCTGGTATTTTGACACAATAATGCGTGCTGTCACGGAATGACATGCAAGTTTACAGTACGCGCGCGGCGTTGTGAAGTGACTTGCGCATTCTTGTGCTGGCACATATAAATTTATGTAGATAGCGCTTGTACAATGTCTTGAGATACGGCAATGTCGGTCCGTAAACCGCCCTGTCATTTTTGAGATAACGTGACGTGCGTAAAATGAATCGACCACAGGCGTGACTTGTGTAAATATGTATTATATAT